CTCACTTTGGTGGGAAAACACCTCCGCCGCGAGAAGGCAGTGAGTAGGGCTTCCTCAGCAGAGGCTATTTGAGACGCTTGGTCGTATGGGGGCATTTCGTGAGGTGCAAGGGCAGGGTGACCAACCGCAACCCTAGACACCCACCCCCAACCATACTGAGGCCTTGGGAGGCACAGGACATTATCCACCATGATTCAACATTTAGTGGTAGAAATCTACAACTTTCCATTTTAACTGCCGTTGTCCACAAATGGGGATTCTTCAAGACAGAGCGCGTAAAATATTGTTCATCAGACCAGCTACAGACAGAGGAATTCGTCAAAGAGAAACATCGTTAGAAACCTGCTATCCACAGGAGAAAAAGCAGAGTAACGAACCAGTCCCGACGGCAGAAAACAATCCAGCCACTTTTCCGTCATATAAAGGGCATTAAGCAGACAACCAAGTCAGTGATAATTTGAAATACGCTCCAAAACGCTGTGCGTTAATTGCTAACAATAAAAGCCTCACTGATAAGAATAGTTCATGCACTATTTCAAGTTCACTGGCAATCACATCTACATGGGCAAAACGGATCGCGATTTGAATTGAAGACCCGCAGGGTATTGATCACGTAAACACAACTAAACAGTGCACGTAAAAACAAGAAATCTGGCATCACTTGTTTTGAAACGCAATGACAATCGTGTTGCGCAATCGCCTTCCGAAATTTCCGGTATTGTGTGGAAAGATGCCAATCNNGCCAGACCTATCTGTATAAAAATAATTCACTCAGTGACTCCCGACCTCGTCACTAGCCAAATCGTTATTATATTCCATCCATTTGATGGTCACTCAAGTAATTCAGTGACTTTTCCCCTATTCATCATGATATACAAATCGGTGCAATAGATAAACAAATGAAGAATGAAATACTTGCACGCCCGGTTTCATCAACAATTGTTCGCTAATCTAAGGCACTATCTAGGGGATCAGAGCAACATTTTCCCTTCGCTGACCTGGCGTGTATAGCGCAAAAGTAGTCTGCTTTGCTCGCTAACATCCAAAGATTNCTATCCGTTTTCGACGACCGTTGTCAGTGAAGCAGCGAGCGTTACACCAGACGGAGTGCTCACGATAGATGTGCATCCTGTGGGATAATTTCAGTACGTCTAAGATACCTGAAAATGCCGATATAACGTCTAACCTACAGTGCCTTACATGCAACCATTGAGTGAATTGGAATTTGATACAATGAGCAAGCTAGGACATGACATTAATAGACTGCGATGGAGTTTGGTTTCTCCTGCGGTTCTCAAAGACCGTTGACCGGACTATCAACAGAACGTTAGTAGTCCCACCATAAGCAATTGTTTCCGTTTATCCCCGTAAGATCGTGATCATATTGTGAAATGACTTCATCAGAAGCTGGTAGTGACAAATCCTTATGTACCACTATCCGACTTTCATGATCAATAAACTAGTTTCACATGCTATGCCATACGTCAACATACCACAATGGCGAAAAACTGACATTATCACGCCCTATTGTTTATATCGGGAAACAATCGTATGTTGGATTGCCTGCACTGAAAAGTCTCAGAAGAAAATTTATTGACTGATTAGCTTTGAGTACGAGACTTGAAGTAGATCCAGCCAAATACAGAAAATATAGAAAAAAATGATCAAGGTCTGTGGAAAATTGTTAGCTTAGCTCGTACGCTCTGCACTTCTTTTCAGGGTAGATCGTTGTGGCAGCTCCAAATACCGCGTGCCAAATGTCTCTCGAGATGTCCCAAAATGATGAATCTAAAGCCTGTACTAAGGCAACAACGGATAACTCGGTTCTCCCAAGAACTGTCGAGATGTAAAACTCTCCCCCATAACGCTACTCCAATTCCTCATCGAATAGACTGGTCTTATTACACACCCTTGTGTGATGAACAGCAGACGGGGTAAATCCCACAGTCACGAGAATCGAATGATCACTTAAACCTGCAACCGGAACTCGGAGTAGCCAACCAGGTAATGCTCAACTAGATTAGGCGTAATCAGGAACTGGACAACAGTCAAACTGCATACCACCATAATGCTCATGAATTGTATGCTGCCTCTCATCTGAGGGGCACTATGGTTTATCCTGTGACTGGTTCTTTGTCTGGGCCCCGGGGAAGTATAGACAGAAGTAAATGCAAATGGGATACGGAACCATGCAGGAAAAAACAGTGCCGAACTAATGGCTGAGTCAAAGTAGCGCTTATTCAGTGGAACCATATATCCTTCAAATCCGCTATTCTGACTTAGTCTGTTGTTGCTTTTTATCGATTTTAGGAGCGGTAGTTAACCAGAAGAAAACACACGGTGTGCGAAATCGGGTCATATACTTCAAGTATGAAAAAGTTGACAGAAAAAGACCGGGAGGGAGTTGGATACAAGATTGAAGGCTGCCTCGCGAACAAAATGGGGAAGAATGAACATTGTTTCCATAGGCTAAAATAGCCATGTGTATGTGAGTTTGTGGTAAATGAAATAAAACAAATCTTTTGTTCACAAGTTGCTGTCACTTGCATTATTACTAGAAAATCAAACCGTGGCATTGGCGATCTTGTGCGAACGGTGCGTCTCACAATATATATTTCATCAAGTGGATCGCAACTTGCGCAAAAATTCATCCAAATTGGCCGGTGCACCCAGAAGAGATGAATTTGATTTGTTGGTAATTGTAGGTAACAAAGCGGGAGGCAGTCCAGCATTTGGAACTATAACTCCGGATGAGAGACCGGGATTGGTGGGAGTTGTGGTTGGACGGAGTGGTTGCACTCGAGGATTGCTCAGATTAGGGATATAGAGAGATATTGGAGACATTGCATTCTGAGTAAGATTAGGGACCGGGACTAAATAGGATAAGGTGGGGGTTGAAATGGGAGGAACGGGGCGAGCGGGGACTTCAGCCTCTGTCGAGGCTGGAGGTTTCGGTGCATTTGGAGGGGGCTCATTAACACCAAGGAAATCTGCGATTGCGGAAAGTTTACGGCCACCGGATGCGGCTTTTTTCTTTTTCTTCGACGCTCGAGCACCGGGTCTAGCAAAACGCGGGCGATCTGATGCTTGCAAAGATGGACGATTATTCTGACGAGAATCGCTAGGACGACTACGCTCGTTCCCTCGATGTGAGAAAAGCGCGTATGCGTCGAACATGGCTTCGGATGGTCCATTTGCATTAGGCCGAATATACGACGCAACCTTTAAATGTAAATCGGACATTCCTTCATTGTGAACACCGGAAGGGGTAGGTGGCGGGTGGGGTGGACGTACTGACGGTGGACGCACCATTTGTCCTGGTGCAGGATATCTGGGAATACCATGCGGGCGTTCTGTGTGACTGGAAATGGGTGGTGCAGGGACATACATGGGTCTAACGGGCCTGTTGGAGGCAGGATTATCTAACTGTGCACGAGGAGCGGGCGGTCGTGGCGGGTGTGAGGGTGGCATTGGGCCTGGCGGCCCTGAAATCATGGTAGGACCAGGTGGACCCAACAACGAAGAATTCGGATCACCTGACGGGACAGGGATGAATGGGGTCGATATTCCCGACCGTTGGTCTCCATCTTCCTTCGGATGGAGTGCACGTACATTTGTTGAATTGGGTGGGGAAAGTGCTTCTGGACTCGCCTTCGGTGTGTCAACTGATTGAAC